CATTATCATGAACCTGAAGAACTCGGTCGATAGCAGTGAATTGCCAATGGTGGGACAAGTATCACATAAGTTTTCCAATCACTAACTTTGATTTTAGCCAATACTAGCACATGCATGTATGTCGATTGTAAATCCCACCTGTTTTCCCACTCGTCTTCTTTTCTAAAAACCTTTATAATTCAATGGAAGTTGTTCATGCTAGTCTCAGCTTCTCTATTTTTCATTGAAGCTTTAATAATATAAGTTGGATTGAATTTGTAATGACCGTTTAGAAAAGTCCTTTTCTTAAACTCCAATGACCTAAATCGTAAATTACTCAAATTTAAAATGACTCGAACATAAAGTTAATTTTAAATTTTAAGAACTTGAATTAATCTAATTTAAAATCAATTTGACTCGAATTTTTTTCTAGGATTTTCCTTTAAAGAATTTCAGCAAAGCAATAATTTTGTTGTATTTAATGTTCAAAGATCAATTATTATTTTTCAAATTGAAAGCAAGTGTTTGTCTACAAAAAAGTGGCACTCGCAACCGTTAGCTATAATTCTGGACATACATATTTCAGTATTATTAAGAACATTACTTCTTAATCCATTAATTAGATGGCCACCGTATCTAACGAACAAACATATTATTGAGTAATGAATATAGAATTAAGATAATGTTTTGTTATTAACTCTCTGATCTACCCACACCGCCCAAATCTTCACCATCATGTGCTTTTGTCATCTTCTGCGGCCACAATGTGCAGGCAAAATCAACCCCACAAAGTAAAAGTTCTTTACGTGATCAAGTTTAAGATCATAAAAAAAATTATTTCATCAAATATTTAATGTTGATGTATTCTTAAGTTTTCGAATTTAAAACTTCTGTTAAATTAGAACAACCGATAGTGGTAGATTTATAGCTTCATGAGGATGAGTACGAGTTCACCTTAAAATTCAAAATTTCTTCGATTAATTATTTATTTTACTGATAGTGTTCATCTTAAAATTTTATTTGTGCTCACTTCAATCAAAATTTTGTGTTGTTAACATTCTTCAAAATCTTTTATGAATTTGTCGCTGACTAATCAATACTAAGCGGTATATCCAATTGTTTAATATATATAAAATAACTTTGTTCTTACAACCACCATGAATATTACCCCATGCTTCTACACATCCTTGAGCCCATACTGAATGAATGGTAGGTGGCACCACCTTTTTGTTTTGTAGTTCATCTCATGTAATCATAGCACATTAGGTTCTTTACACAAAAAGAAGTTATATCTTGTGCAGTTTCTTTGAAGAACCGACACATTCACACTTGTTTTTATCTTTCACTTCCTCTCTCAATTGTCCACTTAAATGCAAACCTTTTGAGACTCCAAAAAGAAAAAGAGGGTTGTCTTTTAATTAGGGTTTTTTGCACTGCAAGATTTGATATTGGTGATAAAGATGCAGCAAGTTTCTCATTCTCTAAGGCCATTCATCACCATTCTTTTCTTGTACTTTGTTCTTCTTTCACCACTTGTTTCTTGTTTATCTCATGGGGAGATCACTGCTTCCAGCACTCACAAGAACATCAAAGAAAATGCACATAAGGTATATGCCAAATTCCTATGTAGCAGCTGTAGCTATACCCATATATATTATGATTTGAGTTTTTCTTTAACCATATGCTTTTCTTTGATTAACAATGATATTTGCAGCTTAGTTCTGAAATGGTGTCTTATATTTCTGTTCATGGACTTCTGCTTTGGGCTTCCATGGGATTATTGATGCCCGTTGGGATACTTACTATTAGATTGGCTGATAAAGAGGAAGCTGGAAAAAGGGTTAAATTTTTATTCTATCTCCATGCTATATTCCAGGTATTATCTTCTTCTTTCCTTCTCTTTAGCTGACTATTTTTTTTTATCTTTGATGTCCATGTTTCCTGCTTGTAAAAAATCTTTTGAAGATAACTACTTATTAGTAATTAAGTTAAATTTTATTATAATTTTAATGGTCAAACATTGTTTGATAATAGAATTTAGTTAATACTTAAGTGCTTATTTTAGATAAAAAAAAGCCTTATGAAATTAAGTTTCTTGGCACTCAAGTATTTATCTTTATAAATATGAAGTAAACTTTAACTTTTAGAATTATAAAAAGATAATTATTTTAGAAAAATTTAATAATTTTTAATCTCTTGAGTTTATATTGTATAGATGAATTTTGTATAATATTATCAGAATGATTTAGAATATCCTAAGTTTTTGTATAGATATTGATTTTTAGGATACATGATATATCATATATTTACATCACTCGTAATCTGTATGTTTATAGTGATTATTATTCTTATTCGTAAAAAAAATAAGGTTGAACCAAATCAATTCTAGTTTCTTCTACATATTTTATTGTATGTTTAAATTATGGTTATTTTCTCGCTGTTAAATTTAACCTAAGGTGCAAAAATGAGATGAGAAAGAGGTGGTTTATATTTTTTTCATCAAATATTATAAACCCACTTTCACTTTAATGATGATGTCCACAGTTTTGAATCTCTTGAAACATCCCATTAATTAACTGATCTAAACCAACTTAATCATATTCATCATGAAGACTTAAATATGAAGAAAAGAGAGATGAGATGATTATTATCACCATGTTCTGCAGATACTGGCGGTTCTTCTTGCAACAGTTGGAGCTGTCATGTCCATAAGAAACTTTGAGAATTCATTCAGTAACCATCACCAAAGACTAGGTTTAGCTCTTTATGTTGCCATTTCGATTCAAGCCATCATTGGCTTTTTCAGACCTCGCAGGTACGTAAAACTTCCTTAATGGTCTATTTCTTAATTCCATCTCCTTACTTGGCAAAAATCGTGAGAAAATGCATTCAAAAAAATAAATTCGTCAGATAATGTTAGTCCCTACTTTGTAAATCGTGACATTATCTCACGATCTTTACTTTGTAAAAATCGAAATGTTAGTCCCTACTTAAGAGTGAAGCTACAAGTCTATCTTAGAAGGGCTAGAATTGAAATTTTAAATTTTGGGAGGTTATAGTACTATTTTACCATTATTTTGACGAGATCAAACAAAACATTTTCCATTTGGGGTGGGGAGCAAGGTTATTGCATGCTAGGAGTGTTCACGTACTGTTAATCGTAACCGTCCCATTTAACCGCTATTTTTATCGTATCATTTTAGCCGAATTTTCAGACACCGATTACCTACCGTTTAATCCGTTTTTTTATATATATATACGATATATCGGTTCGAATTTCTATGAACAACCCTATTGCATGCTCCCTTGGTGCTACCTCTATCTCCATCTTTACCATTACTTTTTTATTCTTTTTTTACAGAGGAAATAGAAGAATCGCATGGTATTTAACACATTGGATTGTTGGAACAATAATATCTGTGATGGGGATTTTTAACATCTACACTGGTTTAAAAGCATACCATAAGAAAACATCAAGAAGCACTGCTCTTTGGACCATGCTTTTCACTATTGAGATCTCTTTCATTGCTTGTTTTTACCTCTTCCAAGACAAATGGGAATATATACAGAAGCAAGGGCTGGTACTAGGCAATAATAACAATACTAGTCCCCAGAATCCTACTCCACCTTCAAATCAAGACCAAGAGAATACAATTACTCAAAAGGGATAAACCAAAGTTGGTGTTGCCTCAACCATGTGCCAAGCGTAATGCTCTTGGGAATTTGTTTGACTAACTTTGGATTCTTTTATTGTTTTATTTTTGAGTGAAAAAAAAAGATTCATACTCTATTTTTTGATGCCTTTCAATGCTTACAGAAAAAGCACAAACTACTTGAATTTTTACTATTGATGGAGTATTTGTCATGCATCAAAAAGTGGAGTACGATCTTTTGATAACTTATCCTCTTTTCTTTTTCATTTCTTTTTGTTGGATGAAAATTTGGGTTTTTAGGTGATTGATTGGAAGGATATTATGAGAAACAGATTGAGATATTGACATGTAAAGTGTGTGATTATGTTTGAGAAATGTAAGACTTATCATTCGTAAATTCGTTGTTTGAAGTACGATCAAGTTTAGTCAAATTGAGTGGAAAAGTTTTGAGTTAAATGATTTGATAAATATTATTTTATCATTCAAATTTTGTTTGAAAAATTTTTAAGTCGAATTTGTAAAATTCAAGTCGAGTCAAATTAAATATATATATTTTTTTAGCTTCTCTTCAAATTTAGTTATAATTTTCACGAATAAGATTAACTTATTCAAATATATCCAAATCTATGCTTATTTTCAACCCCGTAAAATATTTTATCACTTACTACGCCATTCGTATTAAAGTATCCACCGAAAACATTTCCTTATTTGAATCTTCCCCTTAATTTTATTTTAAGACTATTTTATTTTAAGGTGTTGTTGAATGGAAATGAAACGATGTTATTAATATTCATAAATGACAAATCATAGATCGAATTGTTGAATCAAAAAATTATGTATTGTCATATAGCTATGTTCCAGTTCAATTGAAGAGTTGAAGATAAACGGACTCAAATCATTAACATGTATCATAAATAAACTATTGTATCTCATGCCCTTAATGAATTCTATAGTAGAGACCGACGATAAATGATAATTCTTCTATAACAGAAACACATATAATCTGAGATGAACGTAAAATCTTATATTAAGGGGAATAAACTTTAAAATTTTCAAGAATAGACAAATTTTTAAAACATTGAAGAAACAAATATAGATCATTAATAAAAATTACAAAAAAATATCTAAAATACATGATAATTTTAATTTTTTTTTAAACAGACTGCCTTCACCTATTCTTTTGTATTTATCTTACATGTGACAATAATCATAATTATTTCTAAGTTAAACTAAAAGATGCTCCAAATCACATGTGACAAGTGTCACGGGCTAGAGTTACTCACTGTTCGTGACACAAGGGCATTATTGTGAATTAATCACCATCATAATCTCTCTCATCTAGTCACTCAATAGTGAATTCCCTCACTCCTCACTCCTCACTCCTCACTCAATTCCCTCTGAACGCACGCCCTCAAAAGCAAACCCCTTTTTCAGACAGTAGTCAACATGGCTTCCAGCGATCATCATGACCATGACCATCATCATGACCATGACCATACCCATGCCCATGATGAGTAAGTATATCTATATTTCCATACAAGTTTTGGCAGTTCTTTTAATGGAGTTTTAACTTTTTGAATGTCTGGGTTTTGACTATATATGTTTGGTTGTGCAACAGCAAATCGACAACATCATGGGTGGGAGCTGATGGGAAGGTTTACCATAGCCATGATGGACTGGCGCCGCACTCACATGAACCCATTTACTCGCCTGGATACTTCACCAGAAGAGCTCCGCCGCTTATCAACAGGGATTTCAATGAGAGAGCTTTCACTGTTGGTATTGGTGGCCCTGTTGGTACTGGGTATTTCCTATTTTCCCTTGAATTGGTTTCACTTATTCTGCAATTTTTTTATGATGCCATCTGTTATTTATTAGAATTTTCAACAAAGATGATGCTTTAGAGTACCTCAATTTGTAGAGATTTCGATTTGATTTCACTTGTTCTTTATCTTGTATCTGTTCTTTCTTTGGCTATTAAGCTGCTTTATGAGAATTTTCAGCAAAGATTATGCTTTATTGTACCTGAATTAGTGGAGACTTCGACTTGTTATTTGCTGGTTAAGAGTGTAGAATCCACTGACTAATTCACACAGATATATAGTAGTTTACTCCCTAAAAGAGGCAAAGTTTCCTTTCTAAATGCGATCCGCTAGTCCAACAGTTTGGTGGATGCCTTTACTGAAGCTGGCATTGTGGTAAACTGAATGCCTTTAGCAAAGTTGTTTTGTTTTTGACTCTGCTCTCATTGTTGTATTCTGTTTTGTATGGTGTTGTAATATGGACCTTTCCTCATCATTGTTTACCAGTGATTCTCTATTTCTTAATAAAATCTTACACAGGTTGAGCAAAAGGTAGTTTACTATCAAAACCCCCTATTTTCCCTTCCTTTACAAGGTTTTTTGGTCTTTGTTTATTGAGCTAGTTTTCCGAGCCCCTGAAATATCTTTGTTTATGTCGAGCTCTCTCTTTTGTTCTTTTCCTAGTCATGGTCTATCGTTGTTTTCCTCTACTTTATTCGTATGCTTATTATACAATTCTTGGTGATATCCTAAAGCATCCTAAGAAATGGAATCTGATGAAATATTTTAATGTGCCATGCAGGAAAACGGCTTTAATGCTGGCACTGTGCACATTCTTGCGAGACAAGTACAGTCTTGCTGCTGTAAGTACGGTGCATCTTGTACTTTGAGCTTCCAGTCTACCGTTTGATGATAAGTGTTTACTTTATGTTAAATTAGACTCATTATTAGCTCTTTGCTATCAATATATATTCGGAGGTCAAAGTTTTCTGAATGTTATCTAGACTGTGAGCATAGTTGATTCAAACAAGTTACGGTTTGAGCAGCTAACCCTAAGTTCCAAACTTGAAACGATGCATTGAGAAGCATTTCGTAAACTTCAGGTGACAAATGACATATTCACAAAAGAGGATGGTGAGTTCTTGGTGAAACATGGGGCACTTCCCGAGGAAAGGATACGTGCTGTAGAAACAGGAGGTTGCCCGCATGCTGCTATCCGTGAAGACATCAGCATCAATCTCGGTCCTCTTGAGGAGCTTTCTAACTTGTACAAAACAGATTTACTTCTTTGTGAATCCGGAGGAGGTAGGTACAATTTTTCTATTAAAGTGATTTAGCATGAAATTTCAAGGACATGCCACATTTTGAAAGTACCCAACAAGGTGTTTTTGTGCTAATTGGAAAATGAAAATTAACTTACTGATTTAGATATTCGAACTTCTACGGATGCAGATAATTTAGCTGCCAACTTCAGCAGAGAACTAGCTGACTATATTATCTATATAATAGATGTATCCGGTGGTGATAAGATCCCTCGGAAGGGTGGCCCTGGCATAACCCAAGCTGATCTCCTGGTATTTGATTTTATTTATTGTGCTGTTCCATTGCTTTGAATGCACTTATTGGGAGTTCGAACATGAATTTATAACATTTTCTTGATAGGTGATAAACAAGACTGACCTCGCACCTGCAGTCGGAGCAGATTTGGGAGTCATGGAACGCGATGCGCTTCGCATGCGAGATGGAGGACCCTTCGTATTTGCTCAGGTTTGTTGAGTAGTTGACTATATCCTTCACCATATACCGAAATAAAATCATTGGTATTATTCTCATTAGTTGCATCAATTACTCAATGGTTATGATATTAATATCATAAGAACCATTGATTTACACACAAATCAACAAAATTGTTATGATATTTATATTGTCAAACTTGTATCATCCTGGGAACTACATAAACAATACTTTTTATTTGTTAATGATTTGTGTAAATTATACATTCGCAGGTGAAGCACGGGCATGGTGTGGAGGAAATAGTAAACCACGTATTACAAGCTTGGGAAGCAGCGACCGGAAAGAATCGCAAATGAACTTCCGTTTGAAGAACCTGTCAAGTTCATACATTGTATTTCTAGTTATGTCATGAATTTACTATCAATAAGCTTTGCCTTTCATCAGTGAAAAGAGGTCAGTACACGTAAATGAAAACTTTGAAGGAGGATTAGTTTTAGTTTCTTGTTAAAAGATATGGTTGTTGAAGTTGCACCATCTTTATATTATGCCAGTCTGATGTAGTATGGCAAAGAATATGTTGAGGTAATATGAAGTCTCACAGCTTTTGCACGGGTTCAGAACATGTGTTCTGCAATGAAAAAAAGTGCAAAACAAAAAGGCCGGGCCTCGACTCCGCTGGGGATCGAACCCAGCGCCTTATCCATTGGGCCTCGGAGTCAATTTGCTGGTGATAGTTGTGCAATTTTCTAATGAAGTTGGATGGCCGCTTGGGTGCCCAGAAAACTTTAAAATCAACATATATCGTATGCTTACCCTTGACGATCAGCTCTGTGTTTTATCACTTTTCTTTGTTCTTGTTCACGCTTATCCATCTCTATCAATTCTTTGTGATAAATAGCAATATTTTAGGACTTTCGGAGTAGCTTCAACATCAATTGTGTACCTGCCATGATAAACCGCCATGCAATAGAGCTATGAAAACCCAAACGCATGTGAAAGGAAATATAATGATGCAGCTACAAGCAATTCAAATAAATATAAACATGAAATCACTGTAATAATTTGTCACGGGTAAATCCTGAAGAACAAGATAGAATTTAAACAGTGGAGCATTTTTTTAACAAAATGGAAAATAAGCAGTGTCAACAATCCCAGCTACTATCACATTATAGAGAATTGCTTCTTTCCTTTTAAGAATTGTTTACCTTTCTGCTTTAGCTTCAATTTTGTATAGCAGTTGACAGATGAATTATGGTGTCTAAGGTTCTAGCTGTGATCGGAAGGGTTCATAACTGTAGTACCTCCTCAGGTTTATTCTGGAAGCCAAACTCAAATGTCATTCCCTTTCTTATCAAGTGTCGAGGTCTTTAGAGCCTGTCGAAACCTTCTAAGGATTCTTCCCGGAGTTCCTCGAAGTCTCTGGAAAGCCATGTCTTTCGGACAATTAAAAATTCTTTGGTGTGACTCTGGCTGAACCACATAATCTACCAAAGCAGAATCTGTTATCTCACAACCATATCTATTTAGACTATCAACCTGTAAATAAATATCATTGTCCTAGTTCTGACACCAGTACTAAGGGATGGTATTTATGTCACCATGAGTGGCTCAAAAGGAATTTCTTACAACCTTGCTTGTGGGTGAACGTGCATCTTAGCAACCAATTACACTTGCAGTTCCGTATATGCGATTGGGAGCAGCCACTACACTGCATCATGCGTTCAATGATGCACGGATGCCAGCTTTGGCAATAGTTACAGTTTGCTGCTCCATGAATTGAAACACGATCTTGATCATTCATCTTGTCGAACTCATCGATGCAGACGACACCTCTATCACCAAGGACCATTGCACCTGCTTCCAGTCTTCTTTCTCCTTTAATTTCATAAATAAATAAAAACACCAAAAACATATCGTTGCTGAAATGACATAATCAGTTGAAGTGCTTTACCTCGACCAGTCGTTGAAATGGCCAACGGATCGATGTTCTTGATTGCACTTGAAACTGAGATTGCTACAGATGGATCTCCAACCATCATCATGTTGATGTCCCTAAAAGATATCAAGATTTTAGCTTATGTCAAGAGTAAAACTGTACGAAATATCAGGATGGCTGCATATAAAACAAATACAATAGTAAAACTAGAACTAACCCTAGGAAACGAGTGTCGTTATTCAAATCCTTTTCCATGCCACAAGCATCAGTAAAACCACAACTTTCTTTATGCATGAATGACCAATATATAGAAGGTGCAAGGGAGTCACCGAGCAGGTAAAATGTGCCATCTCTCTTGTTTTCCCTGAATACACCATTAACACTACCCTTGGTTTTCCCTGGAAGAGCCCCTACAATAGCCACTCCATCTCCAGGCTTGCATGAATCAACCAAGTCATCCTCCTCGACTATGACATCCACAGTTTGAGGAAGCTGACTATGTGTAGCATTCTTAGAAACTTGTTGAATTGATAATTTCCGGTGATCTTTGTACTGGCACAATCGATATTCAGTCACCAATAAGTTGCCATTTTCATCCAGAAACAAACATTCACTTTTGAGACAATGCTTGATCCAGTAGCCATAATGAAACTAGATCTAAACAATGGAAATTACCCTTGTAGGATACACTGACCCAGTTGGAAAGCCATTATTGGAAGTGATGAATCGATATTCCCAAAGGCCCAAGGTGAAGTTTCAGTGGCAGGACAAAAATGAACACTTTTAACAACCTTTGGTCTTAGCAGAAGAACCTAAATTGAGGATACGTTCATGTTATATGGGTAAAGAAAAGAGTAGAGCACTACACAGAAAAGCCAGTGATGAGGAAAATGCCAAACTATATTACTATAATTGCAAACATTTTCTACAGTATGTACAAGTGCCTAAAAGAAAAAGGGATTTGCAAAGATCAAAGCATGTGCCAACTATTTACAAAAAGGAAAAATAAAACAGAATCATCGAGGCGATACGACACACTGCTGGGGATCGAACCCAGAATCTCTGGTTCCGTACACCAGCGCCTTATCCATTGGGCTACAGAGTCATTTATTGAGAAAAATTGTGCGATTATTTTATTTATCACTGAAAGATTTACTAGAGTAAGCAATTCGACTGGACATGAAAAATCAAAATTTTTAACCAGGCTCGACTAAAGAGAAAAATACTGAAGATTTCCTCCTCTATTACAACACATAAGAAAATGCAACAGTGGAGATTCTATGTTCTACTACTGTACTGTACAAAGATAAAAATGTAACAACGGAAATTCTCTGCCTCCACTACAGTATAAAAGGACGAAAAAACATCAAAATCTTTAAATTATTGTTCAACTTTTATCATTTTAGATTATTATAAATTATTTAGCTTTTTTGCAATTTTAAATTTCGAATTATTGTAAATTATTTTATCATATCAATCAGCTGACAAATGCTGTAAAAAGAGAACAAAAATATCTATAAAAAGATTTAAATTTTATGTTTAAAAGCACGACCTGATTTTCTCATTCAAAAAAATTATGATGACTTGGTGATATGCTAGTACAATTTAATGGTCAAATATTTTTATTTGGTTATGGGAGCCAAGCAATTTTAGTAACTATGTTTAGTCTCGTGTTGGCTGGGCCGTTGTCATAGGTGACATTAGTTTGTCAATTTTTTTTTTTTTTTGACATTTTAAATTTAATTTAGTCTCATCTAAAGGGGAAGAAAAAGGGAGACTTTGAGGGGGGGGGGGGAAGAGTGCTCCTAATACGTCAAAGCATACTTATGTTCTCTTTAAATACGAGATGCACATTCATTATCTGGTTGCATATTTGCATAAGGATGACTATTTTACTTAATTTTGCTAACTGATTTTACTAAACTTTACTAAATATGCTTATGTTTAAAGCATACTTATGTTCTCTTTAAATACTTATGTTTGAGATCAAAATACTAAAAAAAAAAAGTTAAAATAACTATTTTACTAAACTTTGCGAGCTAATTTTAACGTTATGGATTAAGTTTTCTACTGAAAATCATCTCCCAAAGATTGGGTTTAATAGAGAACAGCAGCAAATAGATAAGACAGTTACTTTATCTAGCTAAAAGTTTTCGTTGTTGCAGGAAATTGGAGAAGATGAAGAAACCGAAGATGATTCCGAGAATGATGAATAAATTGAAGCCTTAGCGTTCTTGTACCGGGAAATGCATATATGTAGTGGTTTATGACTTATTAGTTGCACGTATTCAAGGACTTGCTTTCAAGTCTTTTGTTCAAAATTCAATATTGGTGTGTTAGGAACAGCAGGCCTGAGGGAGATGAGTGCTTTCTTAATCCTCTGAAAAGCAGCTTGTAAAGTGGTGAGTGATGCTGCATAGGATACCCGAATGCAGCCCCGGGGACTAGTGCAACCTGAGCCTTGTCCAGGATGTATCGACAAAGCGACTCCGAATTCTCGATTTTACCAAAACCATCAGCTTCTATTCCATAGAACTGAAATCGATGAATAGATAGAAAGCTCCCTGCGGTTCCGGTACCGTAATGTCTTCCAGTTCCCTGAAACTTTTAACCAATAAATCTCGCCGTTCCCGGAATGCTTTCACCATGACGGAAACCACTTCCCCACCGGCAAAGCCGAAGCCTAGTGCAGCAACCCCTGCTTCTTGTGCTATACTGCTAGCTCCTGAACTGATGTGAGTCTGGAGTTTATTAATTGCTCCAACGAAATGCTTAGGTCCGGCAATGTATCCGAGTCACCAACCGGTCATTGCAAAAGCCTTGGAAAAGCCGTTGACGGTTAGAGTCCGCTCCCACATGCCTGTAAATGATGCAAAGCTAGTAGATTTCATCGGATAGCACCAGCAGCATGGGATGCTTTGCTACGATTTCGGCAATTCTTTCGATCAGTGGTTTAGGATAAACGGCTCCTGTTGAGTTTGATGGATTGCATAGAATCAACAGCCTTTAGTTTTCAGTGATTTTAGAGTTGAGGAGCTTCGGATCCAACAGGAAATTTTCACAACTGAGTGTTGGAAGAATTATAGGCTTGCATCCGCCAGCTTCGCCATTTCTGGGTAACTCCCCCAATATGGAGCAGGAATTAACACCTAAAATAAATTTTGTGCTCAAAATCAGGTTATTAACAAAACTTATTTGAAAAATAAGTTTGTAAACTATACTTTATAAATAAATATTTAGATGTTTTAATTTTTATTTAGTGTAAATATTTAATATTTTATTTCGTTGTATTTTAAGGTTGAGTCATTATTTTTCATTAAAAATGTATTGAATGATAAATTTTAGGTCAGGGTGGCTCTCTCATTCCAGGGTCAAGGTATTGCGTAAGACTCAATTGGAATTTATATAGGAAATTATAGAATGTCCACTAAAAGTGGGTAGGATTCAAACTCGGCATTACAAGCTCAAATTTTTAAATTTTACTACTTGTACTAACACTTGTTGACTCTATCTGGCATTGTTGATTGTCTACGCAACAATGTTCAATCTATGACTCTCTTCTTGTCATAAGAGTTAATTGTTATAATCGAAATCAATATGTATA